ACTGAAGCTGAACTTGAAGTGGTTTCAGCAGATAGTGTCCAAGTGGCTGCTTTTGGGAGGCTAGTTGAAGAATCATTTGTACCTGTGGCGCCAGTAGGTGCACGTACAGTGGTTTCAGAAGATGGTGTCCTGGACATTGCTGTTAGCAAACTTCTTGAACTGTCTGGTGGTGCTGTTGATCCTGAACGTGCACTTGTAGTGATATCAGAAGATGGTGTCCTAGATGTTATCAGACTTCTTGTACTCTCTCTTGGCTCTGTTGCTCCGGACGCTGAACTTGAAGTGGTTTCAGCAGATAGTGTCCCATAGGTTGCACTTGGGAGACTTGATGAAGAATCCGGTGTAGCTGTTGCTGCGGGAGGTTCACTTGAGGTGGTTTCAGAAGATGGTGTCCTAGACGTCATCAGACTTCTTGCACTCTCTCTTGGCCCTGTTGATATTGAAGCTGAACTTGAAGTGGTTTCAGCAGATAGTGTCCAAGTGGTTGCTTTTGGGAGGCTAGTTGAAGAATTATTTGTACCTGTGGCGCCAGTAGGTGCACGTGCAGTGGTTTCAGAAGATGGTGTCCTAGACATTGCTGTCAGCAGACTACTCGAACTCTCTGGTAGTCCTGTTGATCCTGAAGGTAAACTTGAAGTGGTTTCAGAAGAGGGTGTCCCATCAGTTGCACTTGGGAGACTTGATGAAGAATCCGGTGTAGCTGTGGCTGCAGGAGGTGCACTTGAGATGGTTTCAGGAGACGGTGTCCAGGAGGCATCAGGGGTACCTGTGGCTCCTGGAGGTGCAAGTTCAGTGGTTTCAGAAGATGGTGTCCTGGACATTGCTGTTAGCAAACTTCTTGAACTGTCTGGTGGTGCTGTTGATCCTGAACGTGCACTTGTAGTGATATCAGAAGATGGTGTCCTAGATGTTATCAGACTTCTTGTACTCTCTCTTGGCTCTGTTGCTCCGGACGCTGAACTTGAAGTGGTTTCAGCAGATAGTTTCCCATAGGTTGCACTTGGGAGACTTGATGAAGAATCCGGTGTAGCTGTGGCCGCAGGAGGTGCACTTGAGGTGGTTTCAGGAGATGGTGTCCTAGACGTCATCAGACTTCTTGCACTCTCTCTTGGCCGTGTTGCTATTGAAGCTGAACTTGAAGTGGTTTCAGCAGATAGTGTCCAAGTGGTTGCTTTTGGGAGGCTAGTTGAAGAATTATTTGTACCTGTGGCGCCAGTAGGTGCACGTGCAGTGGTTTCAGAAGATGGTGTCCTAGACATTGCTGTCAGCAGACTACTCGAACTCTCTGGTAGTCCTGTTGATCCTGAAGGTAAACTTGAAGTGGTTTCAGAAGAGGGTGTCCCATCAGTTGCACTTGGGAGACTTGATGAAGAATCCGGTGTAGCTGTGGCTGCAGGAGGTGCACTTGAGATGGTTTCAGGAGACGGTGTCCAGGAGGCATCAGGGGTACCTGTGGCTCCTGGAGGTGCAAGTTCAGTGGTTTCAGAAGATGGTGTCCTGGACATTGCTGTTAGCAAACTTCTTGAACTGTCTGGTGGTGCTGTTGATCCTGAACGTGCACTTGTAGTGATATCAGAAGATGGTGTCCTAGATGTTATCAGACTTCTTGTACTCTCTCTTGGCTCTGTTGCTCCGGACGCTGAACTTGAAGTGGTTTCAGCAGATAGTGTCCCATAGGTTGCACTTGGGAGACTTGATGAAGAATCCGGTGTAGCTGTTGCTGCAGGAGGTTCACTTGAGGTGGTTTCAGAAGATGGTGTCCTAGACGTCATCAGACTTCTTGCACTCTCTCTTGGCCCTGTTGCTATTGAAGCTGAACTTGAAGTGGTTTCAGCAGATAGTGTCCAAGTGGTTGCTTTTGGGAGGCTAGTTGAAGAATTATTTGTACCTGTGGCGCCAGTAGGTGCACGTGCAGTGGTTTCAGAAGATGGTGTCCTAGACATTGCTGTCAGCAGACTACTCGAACTCTCTGGTAGTCCTGTTGATCCTGAAGGTAAACTTGAAGTGGTTTCAGAAGAGGGTGTCCCATCAGTTGCACTTGGGAGACTTGATGAAGAATCCGGTGTAGCTGTGGCTGCAGGAGGTGCACTTGAGATGGTTTCAGGAGACGGTGTCCAGGAGGCATCAGGGGTACCTGTGGCTCCTGGAGGTGCAAGTTCAGTGGTTTCAGAAGATGGTGTCCTGGACATTGCTGTTAGCAAACTTCTTGAACTGTCTGGTGGTGCTGTTGATCCTGAACGTGCACTTGTAGTGATATCAGAAGATGGTGTCCTAGATGTTATCAGACTTCTTGTACTCTCTCTTGGCTCTGTTGCTCCGGACGCTGAACTTGAAGTGGTTTCAGCAGATAGTTTCCCATAGGTTGCACTTGGGAGACTTGGTGAAGAATCTGGTGTAGCTGTGGCCGCAGGAGGTGCACTTGTGGTGGTTTCAGGAGATGGTGTTCTAGACGTCATCAGACTTCTTGCACTCTCTCTTGGCCCTGTTGCTATTGAAGCTGAACTTGAAGTGGTTTCAGCAGATAGTGTCCAAGTGGTTGCTTTTGGGAGGCTAGTTGAAGAATTATTTGTACCTGTGGCGCCAGTAGGTGCACGTGCAGTGGTTTCAGAAGATGGTGTCCTAGACATTGCTGTCAGCAGACTACTCGAACTCTCTGGTAGTCCTGTTGATCCTGAAGGTAAACTTGAAGTGGTTTCAGAAGAGGGTGTCCCATCAGTTGCACTTGGGAGACTTGATGAAGAATCCGGTGTAGCTGTGGCTGCAGGAGGTGCACTTGAGATGGTTTCAGGAGACGGTGTCCAGGAGGCATCAGGGGTACCTGTGGCTCCTGGAGGTGCAAGTTCAGTGGTTTCAGAAGATGGTGTCCTGGACATTGCTGTTAGCAAACTTCTTGAACTGTCTGGTGGTGCTGTTGATCCTGAACGTGCACTTGTAGTGATATCAGAAGATGGTGTCCTAGATGTTATCAGACTTCTTGTACTCTCTCTTGGCTCTGTTGCTCCGGACGCTGAACTTGAAGTGGTTTCAGCAGATAGTTTCCCATAGGTTGCACTTGGGAGACTTGATGAAGAATCCGGTGTAGCTGTGGCCGCAGGAGGTGCACTTGAGGTGGTTTCAGGAGATGGTGTCCGAGACATCATCAGACTTCTTGTACTGTCTCTTGGCCATGTTGGTACTGAAGCTGAACTTGAAGTGGTTTCAGCAGATAGTGTCCAAGTGGCTGCTTTTGGGAGGCTAGTTGAAGAATCATTTGTACCTGTGGCGCCAGTAGGTGCACGTACAGTGGTTTCAGAAGATGGTGTCCTGGACATTGCTGTTAGCAAACTTCTTGAACTGTCTGGTGGTGCTGTTGATCCTGAACGTGCACTTGTAGTGATATCAGAAGATGGTGTCCTAGATGTTATCAGACTTCTTGTACTCTCTCTTGGCTCTGTTGCTCCGGACGCTGAACTTGAAGTGGTTTCAGCAGATAGTGTCCCATAGGTTGCACTTGGGAGACTTGATGAAGAATCCGGTGTAGCTGTTGCTGCAGGAGGTTCACTTGAGGTGGTTTCAGAAGATGGTGTCCTAGACGTCATCAGACTTCTTGCACTCTCTCTTGGCCCTGTTGCTATTGAAGCTGAACTTGAAGTGGTTTCAGCAGATAGTGTCCAAGTGGTTGCTTTTGGGAGGCTAGTTGAAGAATTATTTGTACCTGTGGCGCCAGTAGGTGCACGTGCAGTGGTTTCAGAAGATGGTGTCCTAGACATTGCTGTCAGCAGACTACTCGAACTCTCTGGTAGTCCTGTTGATCCTGAAGGTAAACTTGAAGTGGTTTCAGAAGAGGGTGTCCCATCAGTTGCACTTGGGAGACTTGATGAAGAATCCGGTGTAGCTGTGGCTGCAGGAGGTGCACTTGAGATGGTTTCAGGAGACGGTGTCCAGGAGGCATCAGGGGTACCTGTGGCTCCTGGAGGTGCAAGTTCAGTGGTTTCAGAAGATGGTGTCCTGGACATTGCTGTTAGCAAACTTCTTGAACTGTCTGGTGGTGCTGTTGATCCTGAACGTGCACTTGTAGTGATATCAGAAGATGGTGTCCTAGATGTTATCAGACTTCTTGTACTCTCTCTTGGCTCTGTTGCTCCGGACGCTGAACTTGAAGTGGTTTCAGCAGATAGTTTCCCATAGGTTGCACTTGGGAGACTTGATGAAGAATCCGGTGTAGCTGTGGCCGCAGGAGGTGCACTTGAGGTGGTTTCAGGAGATGGTGTCCTAGACGTCATCAGACTTCTTGCACTCTCTCTTGGCCGTGTTGCTATTGAAGCTGAACTTGAAGTGGTTTCAGCAGATAGTGTCCAAGTGGTTGCTTTTGGGAGGCTAGTTGAAAAATTATTTGTACCTGTGGCGCCAGTAGGTGCACGTGCAGTGGTTTCAGAAGATGGTGTCCTAGACATTGCTGTCAGCAGACTACTCGAACTCTCTGGTAGTCCTGTTGATCCTGAAGGTAAACTTGAAGTGGTTTCAGAAGAGGGTGTCCCATCAGTTGCACTTGGGAGACTTGATGAAGAATCCGGTGTAGCTGTGGCTGCAGGAGGTGCACTTGAGATGGTTTCAGGAGACGGTGTCCAGGAGGCATCAGGGGTACCTGTGGCTCCTGGAGGTGCAAGTTCAGTGGTTTCAGAAGATGGTGTCCTGGACATTGCTGTTAGCAAACTTCTTGAACTGTCTGGTGGTGCTGTTGATCCTGAACGTGCACTTGTAGTGATATCAGAAGATGGTGTCCTAGATGTTATCAGACTTCTTGTACTCTCTCTTGGCTCTGTTGCTCCGGACGCTGAACTTGAAGTGGTTTCAGCAGATAGTTTCCCATAGGTTGCACTTGGGAGACTTGATGAAGAATCCGGTGTAGCTGTGGCCGCAGGAGGTGCACTTGAGGTGGTTTCAGGAGATGGTGTCCGAGACGTCATCAGACTTCTTGTACTGTCTCTTGGCCATGTTGGTACTGAAGCTGAACTTGAAGTGGTTTCAGCAGATAGTGTCCAAGTGGCTGCTTTTGGGAGGCTAGTTGAAGAATCATTTGTACCTGTGGCGCCAGTAGGTGCACGTACAGTGGTTTCAGAAGATGGTGTCCTAGACGTTGCTTTCAGCAGACTACTCGAACTCTCTGGTAGTCCTGTTGATCCTGAAGGTAAACTTGAAGTGGTTTCAGAAGAGGGTGTCCCATCAGTTGCACTTGGGAGACTTGATGAAGAATCCGGTGTAGCTGTGGCTGCAGGAGGTGCACTTGAGATGGTTTCAGGAGACGGTGTCCAGGAGACATCAGGGGTACCTGTGGCTCCTGGAGGTGCAAGTTCAGTGATTTCAGAAGATGGTTTCCTGGACATTGCTGTTAGCAAACTTCTTGAACTGTCTGGTGGTGCTGTTGATCCTGAACGTGCACTTGTAGTGATATCAGAAGATGGTGTCCTAGATGTTATCAGACTTCTTGTACTCTCTCTTGGCTCTGTTGCTCCGGACGCTGAACTTGAAGTGGTTTCAGCAGATAGTGTCCCATAGGTTGCACTTGGGAGACTTGATGAAGAATCCGGTGTAGCTGTTGCTGCAGGAGGTTCACTTGAGGTGGTTTCAGAAGATGGTGTCCTAGACGTCATCAGACTTCTTGCACTCTCTCTTGGCCCAGTTGCTATTGAAGCTGAACTTGAAGTGGTTTCAGCAGATAGTGTCCAAGTGGTTGCTTTTGGGAGGCTAGTTGAAGAATTATTTGTACCTGTGGCGCCAGTAGGTGCACGTGCAGTGGTTTCAGAAGATGGTGTCCTAGACATTGCTGTCAGCAGACTACTCGAACTCTCTGGTAGTCCTGTTGATCCTGAAGGTAAACTTGAAGTGGTTTCAGAAGAGGGTGTCCCATCAGTTGCACTTGGGAGACTTGATGAAGAATCCGGTGTAGCTGTGGCTGCAGGAGGTGCACTTGAGATGGTTTCAGGAGACGGTGTCCAGGAGGCATCAGGGGTACCTGTGGCTCCTGGAGGTGCAAGTTCAGTGGTTTCAGAAGATGGTGTCCTGGACATTGCTGTTAGCAAACTTCTTGAACTGTCTGGTGGTGCTGTTGATCCTGAACGTGCACTTGTAGTGATATACGAAGATGGTGTCCTAGATGTTATCAGACTTCTTGTACTCTCTCTTGGCTCTGTTGCTCCGGACCCTGAACTTGAAGTGGTTTCAGCAGATAGTGTCCCATAGGTTGCACTTGGGAGACTTGATGAAGAATCCGGTGTAGCTGTTGCTGCAGGAGGTGCACTTGAGGTGGTTTCAGGAGATGGTGTCCGAGACGTCATCAGACTTCTTGTACTCTCTCTTGGCCGTGTTGCTACTGAAGCTGAACTTGAAGTGGTTTCAGCAGATAGTGTCCAAGTAGTTGCTTTTGGGAGGCTAGTGGAAGAATCATTTGTACCTGTGGCGCCAGTAGGTGCACGTACAGTGGTTTCAGAAGATGGTGTCCTTGACGTTGCTGTCAGCAGACTACTCGAACTCTCTGGTAGTCCTGTTGATCCTGAAGGTGAACTTGAAGTGGTTTCAGAAGAGGGTGTCCCATCAGTTGCACTTGGGAGACTTGATGAAGAATCCAGTGTAGCTGTGGCTGCAGGAGGTGCACTTGAGATGGTTTCAGGAGATGGTGTCCAGGAGGCATCAGGGGTACCTGTGGCTCCTGGAGGTGCAAGTTCAGTTGTTTCAGAAGATGGTGTCCTGGACATTGCTGTTAGCAAACTTCTTGAACTGTCTGGTGGCGCTGTTGATCCTGAACGTGCACTTGTAGTGATATCAGAAGATGGTGTCCTAGATGTTATCATACTTCTTGTACTCTCTCTTGGCTCTCTTGCTCCGGACGCTGAACTTGAAGTGGTTTCAGCAGATAGTGTCCCATAGGTTGCACTTGGGAAACTTGATGAAGAATCCGGTGTAGCTTTTGCTGCAGGAGGTTCACTTGAGGTGGTTTCAGAAGATGGTGTCCTAGACGTCATCAGACTTCTTGTACTCTCTCTTGGCCCTGTTGCTACTGAAGCTGAACTTGAAGTGGTTTCAGCATATAGTGTCCAAGTGGTTGCTTTTGGGAGGCTAGTTGAAGAATTATTTGTACCTGTGGCGCCAGTAGGTGCACGTGCAGTGGTTTCAGAAGATGGTGTCCTAGATGTTGCTGTCAGCAGACTACTCGAACTCTCTGGTAGTCCTGTTGATCCTGAAGGTGAACTTGAAGTGGTTTCAGAAGATGGTGTCCCATCAGTTGCACTTGGGAGACTTGATGAAGAATCCAGTGTAGCTGTGGCTGCAGGAGGTGCACTTGAGATGGTTTCAGGAGATGGTGTCCAGGAGGCATCAGGGGTACCTGTGGCTCCTGGAGGTGCAAGTTCAGTTGTTTCAGAAGATGGTGTCCTGGACATTGCTGTTAGCAAACTTCTTGAACTGTCTGGTGGCGCTGTTGATCCTGAATGTGCACTTGTAGTGATATCAGAAGATGGTGTCCTAGATGTTATCATACTTCTTGTACTCTCTCTTGGCTCTCTTGCTCCGGACGCTGAACTTGAAGTGGTTTCAGCAGATAGTGTCCCATAGGTTGCACTTGGGAGACTTGATGAAGAATCCGGTGTAGCTGTGGCCGCAGGAGGTGCACTTGAGGTGGTTTCAGGAGATGGTGTCCGAGACGTCATCAGACTTCTTGTACTGTCTCTTGGCCATGTTGGTACTGAAGCTGAACTTGAAGTGGTTTCAGCAGATAGTGTCCAAGTGGCTGCTTTTGGGAGGCTAGTTGAAGAATCATTTGTACCTGTGGCGCCAGTAGGTGCACGTACAGTGGTTTCAGAAGGTGGTGTCCTTGACGTTGCTGTCAGCAGACTACTCGAACTCTCTGGTAGTCCTGTTGATCCTGAAGGTAAACTTGAAGTCGTTTCAGAAGAGGGTGTCCCATCAGTTGCACTTGGAAGACTTGATGAAGAATCCGGTGTAGCTGTGGCTGCAGGAGGTGCACTTGAGATGGTTTCAGGGGACGGTGTCCAGGAGGCATCAGGGGTACCTGTGGCTCCTGGAGGTGCAAGTTCAGTGGTTTCAGAAGATGGTGTCCTGGACATTGCTGTTAGCAAACTTCTTGAACTGTCTGGTGGTGCTGTTGATCCTGAACGTGCACTTGTAGTGATATCAGAAGATGGTGTCCTAGATGTTATCAGACTTCTTGTACTCTCTCTTGGCTCTGTTGCTCCGGACGCTGAACTTGAAGTGGTTTCAGCAGATAGTGTCCCATAGGTTGCACTTGGGAGACTTGATGAAGAATCCGGTGTAGCTGTTGCTGCAGGAGGTTCACTTGAGGTGGTTTCAGAAGATGGTGTCCTAGACGTCATCAGACTTCTTGCACTCTCTCTTGGCCCTGTTGCTATTGAAGCTGAACTTGAAGTGGTTTCAGCAGATAGTGTCCAAGTGGTTGCTTTTGGGAGGCTAGTTGAAGAATTATTTGTACCTGTGGCGCCAGTAGGTGCACGTGCAGTGGTTTCAGAAGATGGTGTCCTAGACATTGCTGTCAGCAGACTACTCGAACTCTCTGGTAGTCCTGTTGATCCTGAAGGTAAACTTGAAGTGGTTTCAGAAGAGGGTGTCCCATCAGTTGCACTTGGGAGACTTGATGAAGAATCCGGTGTAGCTGTGGCTGCAGGAGGTGCACTTGAGATGGTTTCAGGAGACGGTGTCCAGGAGGCATCAGGGGTACCTGTGGCTCCTGGAGGTGCAAGTTCAGTGGTTTCAGAAGATGGTGTCCTGGACATTGCTGTTAGCAAACTTCTTGAACTGTCTGGTGGTGCTGTTGATCCTGAACGTGCACTTGTAGTGATATCAGAAGATGGTGTCCTAGATGTTATCAGACTTCTTGTACTCTCTCTTGGCTCTGTTGCTCCGGACGCTGAACTTGAAGTGGTTTCAGCAGATAGTTTCCCATAGGTTGCACTTGGGAGACTTGGTGAAGAAGCTGGTGTAGCTGTGGCCGCAGGAGGTGCACTTGAGGTGGTTTCAGGAGATGGTGTTCTAGACGTCATCAGACTTCTTGCACTCTCTCTTGGCCCTGTTGCTATTGAAGCTGAACTTGAAGTGGTTTCAGCAGATAGTGTCCAAGTGGTTGCTTTTGGGAGGCTAGTTGAAGAATTATTTGTACCTGTGGCGCCAGTAGGTGCACGTGCAGTGGTTTCAGAAGATGGTGTCCTAGACATTGCTGTCAGCAGACTACTCGAACTCTCTGGTAGTCCTGTTGATCCTGAAGGTAAACTTGAAGTGGTTTCAGAAGAGGGTGTCCCATCAGTTGCACTTGGGAGACTTGATGAAGAATCCGGTGTCGCTGTGGCTGCAGGAGGTGCACTTGAGATGGTTTCAGGAGACGGTGTCCAGGAGGCATCAGGGGTACCTGTGGCTCCTGGAGGTGCAAGTTCAGTGGTTTCAGAAGATGGTGTCCTGGACATTGCTGTTAGCAAACTTCTTGAACTGTCTGGTGGTGCTGTTGATCCTGAACGTGCACTTGTAGTGATATCAGAAGATGGTGTCCTAGATGTTATCAGACTTCTTGTACTCTCTCTTGGCTCTGTTGCTCCGGACGCTGAACTTGAAGTGGTTTCAGCAGATAGTTTCCCATAGGTTGCACTTGGGAGACTTGATGAAGAATCCGGTGTAGCTGTGGCCGCAGGAGGTGCACTTGAGGTGGTTTCAGGAGATGGTGTCCGAGACATCATCAGACTTCTTGTACTGTCTCTTGGCCATGTTGGTACTGAAGCTGAACTTGAAGTGGTTTCAGCAGATAGTGTCCAAGTGGCTGCTTTTGGGAGGCTAGTTGAAGAATCATTTGTACCTGTGGCGCCAGTAGGTGCACGTACAGTGGTTTCAGAAGATGGTGTCCTGGACATTGCTGTTAGCAAACTTCTTGAACTGTCTGGTGGTGCTGTTGATCCTGAACGTGCACTTGTAGTGATATCAGAAGATGGTGTCCTAGATGTTATCAGACTTCTTGTACTCTCTCTTGGCTCTGTTGCTCCGGACGCTGAACTTGAAGTGGTTTCAGCAGATAGTGTCCCATAGGTTGCACTTGGGAGACTTGATGAAGAATCCGGTGTAGCTGTTGCTGCAGGAGGTTCACTTGAGGTGGTTTCAGAAGATGGTGTCCTAGACGTCATCAGACTTCTTGCACTCTCTCTTGGCCCTGTTGCTATTGAAGCTGAACTTGAAGTGGTTTCAGCAGATAGTGTCCAAGTGGTTGCTTTTGGGAGGCTAGTTGAAGAATTATTTGTACCTGTGGCGCCAGTAGGTGCACGTGCAGTGGTTTCAGAAGATGGTGTCCTAGACATTGCTGTCAGCAGACTACTCGAACTCTCTGGTAGTCCTGTTGATCCTGAAGGTAAACTTGAAGTGGTTTCAGAAGAGGGTGTCCCATCAGTTGCACTTGGGAGACTTGATGAAGAATCCGGTGTAGCTGTGGCTGCAGGAGGTGCACTTGAGATGGTTTCAGGAGACGGTGTCCAGGAGGCATCAGGGGTACCTGTGGCTCCTGGAGGTGCAAGTTCAGTGGTTTCAGAAGATGGTGTCCTGGACATTGCTGTTAGCAAACTTCTTGAACTGTCTGGTGGTGCTGTTGATCCTGAACGTGCACTTGTAATGGTATACGAAGATGGTGTCGTAGACATTATCAGACTTCTTGTACTCTCTCTTGGCTCTGTTGCTCCGGACCCTGAACTTGAAGTGGTTTCAGCAGATAGTGTCCCATAGGTTGCAATTGGTAGACTTGATGAAGAATCCGGTGTAGCTGTTGCTGCAGGAGGTGCACTTGAGGTGGTTTCAGGAGATGGTGTCCGAGACGTCATCAGACTTCTTGTACTCTCTCTTGGCCGTGTTGCTACTGAAGCTGAACTTGAAGTGGTTTCAGCAGATAGTGTCCAAGTAGTTGCTTTTGGGAGGCTAGTGGAAGAATCATTTGTACCTGTGGCGCCAGTAGGTGCACGTACAGTGGTTTCAGAAGATGGTGTCCTTGACGTTGCTGTCAGCAGACTACTCGAACTCTCTGGTAGTCCTGTTGATCCTGAAGGTGAACTTGAAGTGGTTTCAGAAGAGGGTGTCCCATCAGTTGCACTTGGGAGACTTGATGAAGAATCCAGTGTAGCTGTGGCTGCAGGAGGTGCACTTGAGATGGTTTCAGGAGATGGTGTCCAGGAGGCATCAGGGGTACCTGTGGCTCCTGGAGGTGCAAGTTCAGTGGTTTCAGAAGATGGTGTCCTGGACATTGCTGTTAGCAAACTTCTTGAACTGTCTGGTGGCGCTGTTGATCCTGAATGTGCACTTGTAGTGATATCAGTAGATGGTGTCCTAGATGTTATCATACTTCTTGTACTCTCTCTTGGCTCTCTTGCTCCGGACGCTGAACTTGAAGTGGTTTCAGCAGATAGTGTCCCATAGGTTGCACTTGGGAAACTTGATGAAGAATCCGGTGTAGCTTTTGCTGCAGGAGGTTCACTTGAGGTGGTTTCAGAAGATGGTGTCCTAGACGTCATCAGACTTCTTGTACTCTCTCTTGGCCCTGTTGCTACTGAAGCTGAACTTGAAGTGGTTTCAGCATATAGTGTCCAAGTGGTTGCTTTTGGGAGGCTAGTTGAAGAATTATTTGTACCTGTGGCGCCAGTAGGTGCACGTGCAGTGGTTTCAGAAGATGGTGTCCTAGATGTTGCTGTCAGCAGACTACTCGAACTCTCTGGTAGTCCTGTTGATCCTGAAGGTGAACTTGAAGTGGTTTCAGAAGATGGTGTCCCATCAGTTGCACTTGGGAGACTTGATGAAGAATCCAGTGTAGCTGTGGCTGCAGGAGGTGCACTTGAGATGGTTTCAGGAGATGGTGTCCAGGAGGCATCAGGGGTACCTGTGGCTCCTGGAGGTGCAAGTTCAGTTGTTTCAGAAGATGGTGTCCTGGACATTGCTGTTAGCAAACTTCTTGAACTGTCTGGTGGCGCTGTTGATCCTGAATGTGCACTTGTAGTGATATCAGAAGATGGTGTCCTAGATGTTATCATACTTCTTGTACTCTCTCTTGGCTCTCTTGCTCCGGACGCTGAACTTGAAGTGGTTTCAGCAGATAGTGTCCCATAGGTTGCACTTGGGAAACTTGATGAAGAATCCGGTGTAGCTTTTGCTGCAGGAGGTTCACTTGAGGTGGTTTCAGAAGATGGTGTCCTAGACGTCATCAGACTTCTTGTACTCTCTCTTGGCCCTGTTGCTACTGAAGCTGAACTTGAAGTGGTTTCAGCATATAGTGTCCAAGTGGTTGCTTTTGGGAGGCTAGTTGAAGAATTATTTGTACCTGTGGCGCCAGTAGGTGCACGTGCAGTGGTTTCAGAAGATGGTGTCCTAGATGTTGCTGTCAGCAGACTACTCGAACTCTCTGGTAGTCCTGTTGATCCTGAAGGTGAACTTGAAGTGGTTTCAGAAGATGGTGTCCCATCAGTTGCACTTGGGAGACTTGATGAAGAATCCAGTGTAGCTGTGGCTGCAGGAGGTGCACTTGAGATGGTTTCAGGAGATGGTGTCCAGGAGGCATCAGGGGTACCTGTGGCTCCTGGAGGTGCAAGTTCAGTTGTTTCAGAAGATGGTATCCTGGACATTGCTGTTAGCAAACTTCTTGAACTGTCTGGTGGCGCTGTTGATCCTGAACGTGCACTTGTAGTGATATCAGAAGATGGTGTCCTAGATGTTATCAGACTTCTTGTACTCTCTCTTGGCTCTGTTGCTCCGGACGCTGAACTTGAAGTGGTTTCAGCAGATAGTGTCCCATAGGTTGCACTTGGGAGACTTGATGAAGAATCCGGTGTAGCTGCGGCCGCAGGAGGTGCACTTGAGGTGGTTTCAGGAGATGGGGTCTGAGACGTCATCAGACTTCTTGTACTGTCTCTTGGCCGTGTTGGTACTGAAGCTGAACTTGAAGTGGTTTCAGCAGATAGTGTCCAAGTGGTTGGTTTTGGGAGGCTAGTTGAAGAATTATTTGTACCTGTGGCACCAGTAGGTGCACGTGCAGTGGTTTCAGAAGATGGTGTCCTAGACGTTGCTGTCAGCAGACTACTCGAACTTTCTGGTAGTCCTGTTGATCCTGAAGGTAAACTTGAAGTGGTTTCAGAAGAGGGTGTCCCATCAGTTGCACTTGGGAGACTTGATGAAGAATCCGGTGTAGCTGTGGCTGCAGGAGGTGCACTTGAGATGGTTTCAGGAGACGGTGTCCAGGAGGCATCAGGGGTACCTTTGGCTCCTGGAGGTGCAAGTTCAGTGGTTTCAGAAGATGGTGTCCTGGACATTGCTGTTAGCAAACTTCTTGAACTGTCTGGTGGCGCTGTTGATCCTGAACGTGCACTTGTAATGGTATCCGAAGATGGTGTCCTAGACATTATCAGACTTCTTGTACTCTCTCTTGGCTCTGTTGCTCCGGAAGCTGAACTTGAAGTGGTTTCAGCAGATAGTGTCCCATAGGTTGCAATTGGGAGACTTGATGAAGAATCCGGTGTAGCTGTTGCTGCAGGAGGTGCACTTGAGGTGGTTTCAGGAGATGGTGTCCGAGACGTCATCAGACTTCTTGTACTGTCTCTTGGCCGTGTTGGTACTGAAGCTGAACTTGAAGTGGTTTCAGCAGATAGTGTCCAAGTGGCTGCTTTTGGGAGGCTAGTTGAAGAATCATTTGTACCTGTGGCCCCAGTAGGTGCACGTACAGTGGTTTCAGAAGATGGTGTCCTAGACGTTGCTGTCAGCAGACTACTCGAACTCTCTGGTAGTCCTGTTGATCCTGAAGGTGAACTTGAAGTGGTTTCAGAAGAGGGTGTCCCATCAGTTGCACTTGGGAGACTTGGTGAAGAATCTGGTGTAGCTGTGGCTGCAGGAGGTGCACTTGAGATGGTTTCAGGAGACGGTGTCCAGGAGGCATCAGGGGTACCTGTGGCTCCTGGAGGTGCAAGTTCAGTTGTTTCAGAAGATGGTATCCTGGACATTGCTGTTAGCAAACTTCTTGAACTGTCTGGTGGCGCTGTTGATCCTGAACGTGCACTTGTAGTGATATCAGAAGATGGTGTCCTAGATGTTATCAGACTTCTTGTACTCTCTCTTGGCTCTGTTGCTCCGGAAGCTGAAATTGAAGTGGTTTCAGCAGATAGTGTCCCATAGGTTGCACTTGGGAGACTTGATGAAGAATCCGGTGTAGCTGCGGCCGCAGGAGGTGCACTTGAGGTGGTTTCAGGAGATGGGGTCCGAGACGTCATCAGACTTCTTGTACCGTCTCTTGGCCATGTTGGTACTGAAGCTGAACTTGAAGTGGTTTCAGCAGATAGTGTCCAAGTGGTTGGTTTTGGGAGGCTAGTTGAAGAATTATTTGTACCTGTGGCACCAGTAGGTGCACGTGCAGTGGTTTCAGAAGATGGTGTCCTAGACGTTGCTGTCAGCAGACTACTCGAACTTTCTGGTAGTCCTGTTGATCCTGAAGGTAAACTTGAAGTGGTTTCAGAAGAGGGTGTCCCATCAGTTGCACTTGGGAGACTTGATGAAGAATCCGGTGTAGCTGTGGCTGCAGGAGGTGCACTTGAGATGGTTTCAGGAGACGGTGTCCAGGAGGCATCAGGGGTACCTGTGGCTCCTGGAGGTGCAAGTTCAGTGGTTTCAGAAGATGGTGTCCTGGACATTGCTGTTAGCAAACTTCTTGAACTGTCTGATGGCGGTGTTGATCCTGAACGTGCACTTGTAGTGATATCAGAAGATGGTGTCCTAGATGTTATCAGACTTCTTGTACTCTCTCTTGGCTCTGTTGCTCCGGACGCTGAACTTGAAGTGGTTTCAGCAGATAGTGTCCCATAGGTTGCACTTGGGAGACTTGATGAAGAATCCGGTGTAGCTGTGGCTGCAGGAGGTACACTTGAGGTGGTTTCAGAAGATGGTGTCCTAGACGTCATCAGACTTTTTGTACTCTCTCTTGGCCCTGTTGCTAATGAAGCTGAACTTGAAGTGGTTTCAGCAGATAGTTTCCTAGTGGTTGCTTTTGGGAGGCTGGTTGAAGAATCATTTGTACCTGTGGCGCCAGTAGGTGCACCTGCAGTGGTTTCAGAAGATGTTGTCCTAGATGTTGCTGTCAGCAGACTATTCGAACTCTCTGGTGGTCCTGTTGATCCTGAAGGTGAACTTGAAGTGGTTTCAGAAGAGGGTGTCCCATCAGTTGCACTTGGGAGACTTGATGAAGAATCCGGTGTACCTGTGGCTGCAGGAGGTGCACTTGAGATGGTTTCAGGAGACAGTGTCCAGGAGGCATCAGGGGTACCTGTGGCTCCTGGAGGTGCAAGTTCAGTGGTTTCAGAAGATGGTGTCTTGGACATTGCTGTTAGCAAACTTCTTGAACTGTCTGATGGCGCTGTTGATCCTGAACGTGCACTTTTAGTGGTATCAGAAGATAGTGTTCTAGAAGTTATCAGAGTTCTTGTACTCTGTCTTGGCTCTGTTGCTCCTGAAGCTGAACTTGAAGTGGTTTCAGCAGATAGTGTCCCATAGGTTGCACTTGGGAGACTTGATGAAGAATCTGGATTATCTGTGGCTGCAGGAGGTGCACTTGAAGTGGTTTCAGGAGATGGTGTCATAGACATTGATCTTTCCCAAGTTCTTGAACCGTCTGAAGGCATTGTTGATGCCGAACTTGCACTTGAAGTGGTATCAGAGGATGATCCCCTAGATGTTGGTGCTGGGAGATGTGTTGAAGTATCCGGTGTTCCTGATGGTCCACTTGAAGTACTTTCAGAAGGTGGTGTCCAAGAGGTTGCATTTGGGACCCTTGATGAAGCATCCATTTTTCCTGACACTGTTGGGGATGCACTTGAAGTGGTTTCAGGAGATGGTGTTGCAGAGATTGCTGTTGGGTGACTTGATGAAGAATCCGGTGGCCATGTTGATCCTGAAGGTGAACTTGAAGTGGTTTCAGAAGATGGTGTCCCAGAGATTACTGTTGAGACATCTGATTGTTATCTTATACTTGTTTGACAAATAAAATAAATTAAAATAATAAAAATAAATAATTGTACCCAGAACAGACAGTGTTTGAGTAAAATTGAATGTTTATAAATAAAACAAATAAAACATGGGGGAGGGGGAAAAAAGTTGATAGTTATATCAGACCAAATCAACCAGAATATCATCACCTATATAACTGTCTGCTTTGGTTCTGCAACCCAACAGGACAGACACAGACTTCGGAGGATAATTAGAACTGCAGAAAAAACAATTACTACCAAACTGCCTTCCATTTAGGACCTGTATACTGCACAAGTCAAAAATAGGGTTGTGAAAATATTTACAGACCCCTTGCATCCTGGACATGAACTGTTTCAACTCCTACCCTCAAAACGACGCTATAGAGCACTTCACACCAGAACTAGACACAAGAACAGTTTTTCCCCGAACGCCATTACTCTGCTAAACAAATAATTCCCACAACACTGTAGAACTATTTACTAAGTTTGCACTACTATTAATCTTCTCATCATTCTTATCACCCATCTCCCCCCACTTATGACTGTATGACTGTAACCTAGTTGCTGGTATCCTGTTGATTTATATTGACTGTTTCCTAATATGATTTGATTGCTTATTTGTTCCCTATGACTATCATTAAGTGATGTAACTTATGATTCTTGACAAATGTATCTTTTCTTTTATGTACACTGAGAGCAATGCACCAAGAGAAATTCCTTGTGTGTCCAGTCACACTTGGCCAATCAAGAATTCTATTCTATTCTATTCTATTCTATTCTATTCTATTCTATTCTATTCTATTCTATTCTATTCTATTCTATTCTATTCTATTCTATTCTATTCTATTCTATTCTATTCTATTCCCTTGTTTGATTACAGAAATTTCTCTATTGGTAGTAACTTATTTATAAGTATCTCACCACTACACTCCCTTGGGAACAGTCGGATAAGAGATTCAGGGATTTGGGAGTTGGAGGTAATCAGGTCTCTGTGGCTTCCTCCCCTGTAGGCATTCCAAGCTAGCCGATCTCTTTACTCCATCCTGCTTTAGCTACAAATTCCATCACAATTGTGGAATATAATCAACTTTGTGGTGTATAATTATAATTATTAGTGTCATGCATTGTTACATTAGCCAGAAGACCACAATGCTATTGGAGAATAGAAGTTTGGCTGCCAATGTAGCAGCTCTGTTTTAGGAAACCCTCATGTGTTTCCCAAGGTGCACCACAGGGGGACAAGCTGGCTTTGCACCTGACAGAAAGACAAGCAGCTCTTCCTTCTGCATCTTCCTAGCCCCCTTCCCTCCCCAGAGGCACCTTGCAAATGGGTGCCAGCAACAGGAAGCTTCACATCCAGCAGGAATCTGACTGCCTGCATGGAGCATCAACTCATCTCCTCACTAAAGTGGCACCTATTTAACTACTTGCATAGAACATGCATTTGAACTGTTAGGTGGACAGAAGCTGAGGTGAGTGATGGGCATTCACCCCCACACAAAGTGCTAGGACTTGAACCGCTGGACCGGAGACCATCTCCAGCATCATTAAGCCACTGAGCCCCCGTGCCTCCGATGGTGAATAATTAGTTAAAAAGGAAAAAAACCATCCAAATATCTCTCTCACTGAGTTATTCTGCACAACAGGACCTGCACTAAGGCTCTGGTAAATCCGGCTACAGATAGTACGTGATGCTCCACCGCCCTATTCTCAGTGTCAGGAGAAGAAATGGGAGGAGACAAATGAGGCAGCTGTTACTCAGTTTTAGTAATCTCCTCCCTCTTCCTGCAAAGCCAGTTTGGGATCACAAGGGGCCAAAGGTTAGCGAAGGGCAGCGACCCAACTTCCCATCTCCATCTCTGTATTAGATGAGTCAATGTCAAAGAGCCCATAAGTTAGGAGTTCTTGTTCCTTTTTGAGCCTGTCTGCAGACTCTTTTTTTCTTGTTGGTGCTTCAGATAGCAATA